AGGGAAAGAGCAGCCTGAACTGCTTGACATCTGGAAGGAAACAAAGCTGGGCTTCTCGACCTTGCTACCCCACCATCGTCCCGCCACGCACCTCCTCTTCCCCCCCTCCCTTGTTTTTTTTTTAAATTTTTTTTTGAGAGACAGTGCAAGTTCTGGCTTTCGGACCCTCTATCAATTTTCATTTACTCAACTGCAAAGTGTGCTTACAAGAAAAAATAAATAATAATTAAGAGCTCTTCACAAAGTTACCACTCAGTATTGTAAAGCGTAACGAAAACCAGCTGGAAAACCTCCGCTGCAAACCGTGCTGGGAAAGGTGCACAACTGATCACCGCCCTCGGCTACTAGCAAACTTTAAAGCAAGCAATTAAACTAGAGGATGCACCTTTAGCATGCTCTGTGCATTGGTCGGTGTTGCACACGCCTGTGTCGCACTTCTTGATGAGGTTACCCAGCAGGCACCCCAACACGTAACAGCCGGAGAGAGCGGTCACGGGGTGTCGTGGGAGTCACGAGCTCGGTTTACGGCCAGAAGGGACAGGCCTGAGGCAGGTATGCATGAGAAGTGGAAAGAGGGCTCTTTCCTTCGGACCTGGGGTACAGGACAGCTCTGGGGTACCTCCACTGGCCTTGGCCAGAGGAAACATCTCCACTGGGGCTACTTATCCTCCCCATGAAAACACTTGCTGCCTTTGACCTGAACTTGCTCACCCTTTTGATCTTGTTACCCTAACCCTACATTTTCTTTTTTTTTGGTGAGAAGAAGCTGTCAGTTTCTTCATCCCCCCCTGAGAATGGGGAGGACATGGAGGTCAGCTGGAGGGGATGACCTGCAACCCCAGAGACAGGCCAGCTCTGACCCCCTGTCAACAAATCCCAGATTTGCCGAACCATGCCTGCAAGAAACATCGCAGGTTTGGGCAAATTCACCCTACATTTGATACTTTAATCCAATTACGCGTCACGCTCGCCTCCACGTTCATCATGTTAATCTCTTCTAAAATTACCCTCTAGTCCTCTGAATGAAAACACCTCGTTCCTCCACTTCAAACACTGTGATAAACATAGATCCTTGTAATACGAGAAAGAGGGCAAGGACCTTGCTGTATTTCATTATTTTTGTACTGCAGCGATGAATTTCAAAATAGCTTAGCACTAGTAGTCATGCTTACTGATTTGGTATACATTCCCTTTGCTGCTCTTCAGAAGTTTAGGACTTCTGGGCACGAGTGTGAAGGGTTTGGGTTGTTTTTTTCCCACCCCCTTTCGGCAGATCACTCTGCATGATGACGTTTTATTGCTTTTTGTTTGTTTTGAATGAAGGCACGGCCCTCTTTCCTTCCTGCACAACTGTTCCCTCAGTGCAAAGGCTACGCAGGGCTGGAAGACGGGAGGACCTCCATCTTCTAGCCTCACCTGGAAGTGAGCAGTAATTTTCCCCGTTGTTAATGCATGAAAGAACAAGCCCAAGGGGTCTCAAAGCTACTTGCTATGAACTGGTCATGGGAGGAAAAAAAAAAACACAAAAACAAAGCAAACCCCAAACCAGCCTTGCAACCGGCATGGAAGTCCCCAAGATCTGAAATTAAGATTCTTTACTGCTCTTTACACAGTTTTAATAGTCTTCTTGACTTGCTGTGCTTTATTCCTGGACTTAAAAAGCTAGGTGAGGCAGGCCCTCCAACAGGAGTCCTGCAACAAGGCAGTACTCCAGCTCCTGAGACCACCCCAGACTACCTGAGACCACCCCGGACCACGAGGGACCGGCATGCCGGAGCACGCTTACGTACGTGAGGGCGGCTGTGCCCGAAGTACATCAGCAAGCAGGTGCCTATCAGCGTAGCTCATGAGAGCATCTGCCTACTGTCGGACTAAATAGCCTTCAGATCCACCAGGCAACAGCTTGGGTCACAGCTGGAGACTTCAGCAACACGTGTGGGACATCCGCCGAGCATGCAGAGCGCCTTGAAAACACACCCCATGGGTTTCATGAGGCCGAAGTGCTAGTGAGCCCTGTGAAGCAGTGTATTCTTGCTTGCAGAAGCAAGAGATTAATTTATCTGGCTGATTATCAACTGAAGTTGATTTACCTGGGCAAAGATTAGTTTGCAAGGCAGTTTATCAGTTCCCAGGGTACACGACTGGCGCCAGGAGGGAGACCATGGAGTTCACACACAGAAAGAAGGCAGTTTCTGGCCTCAGCTGAGGCCGTTTCACAGCTGCAAAGCTCCACTGACCTCAGCAACGCTAGCACAGGCAAGAGGAAATTCCTCCCTGAGGTGCCGTGTATGACTTTTCCCAACGTATACTTTTTTCCTGCATCGTGATGATTTCTTCTGTTCCCACATTTATTTTCCCAGGAAAGTTTTGCAGGCTTATCTGTGGATGCACACTACTCTCATTTCTTTCCAGCTTCTCACGTTATCACAAACAGGATCAAGTACAGAAAACAATTGCATCGTACTCTCCCTGTGTGACTGATGGCACATATACGTGCAATAAAACAGAACAAAACCAAGCACTTACATCAGGCTCCTTTTAAACTTCAAAGTATCAGAGAGACCTTTCACACCACCCAGTACAACTGAGTACCTGTTTGCTAAGCTGGATGGAAACAAAGTACCGTGCAGTTTAAGAGCAAAAATAGAACAAACTGCTAGGGCCATGCTCCGCATATACAGTGGCCGGCTTGGGCTAAAGCAGGCTTATTTTACAAGTCACTTTCTCTGCATAGCTTTTTTAATAGGTGGACTGTTTTGGGTTTTTTTTCCCAAAAAAATGCTGAAGATGCAGAAGTGACAGACAGTTAACACTTTACTGGATGAGGTCCTTAAAAAAAAACCTATTTTTTTAATACATATATTTGTAAATAAATAAAAATAAATCACCAAAGTCACTTTTCTTCCAAAACTAGATTATTAGAATAATCCTGAGACTAGTCATAATCAGAGATGTTTCTTTCCTCAGCAGGTCTGTCCACCTCTCCCCCCTTCCCTGATCCCCAGCCCCACCAGACTTCATCCTAAGGTCTGCTCCAGCCAACCAACTGCTCACGAAAGAACAAGAGCGGTGGCGAAGAGGGAAGCACGGGATACCTGAACTAGCAGAGCAGTCGAGGAACACTGAAAGATATTAGGCTGAAGACATCAACGTAACATTTGAATACCCCCGCTGGGCTATCATCTCCATTTTGGCTATCAAACAGCGATGGCTGTGAGATGACAGATGTTTCCTATGCAGGAGCATCAGGCTCCCAAGCAGCGCACAGCAGAGGTATCCCCGACCACAAATGCTGTACCGCAGCGCAGTCACTGTCGCCGTCCTTCTCGTGTGCCTGACCTCTGCAACCACACCAGCAAGAGCCATTATTCAGCACATTACTGGAAAAGGACAGAGCTTTCGGCACTGCCAGAGATAACGGTTCATCAGCACTTCCCCTCCCCACAATATCCCTTTTGCAGGAGTCCAAGGGTCCCCTGCCCCTGTTCATTTCCCGCTGGAAGTCTGAAGAGAAGCCAGAGAGGAAAGTTAGTTTCCCAATGCCGTAAACTAAATGCCAGACCAGCTGGGACAGATTTCACACGTGGAGAGGAAAGGGTGAGAGTTATTTCAAAATCCTTATTGCATTCTTACATTTCTGTATCAAGCAGAAAGTTTAGCAAGAGAGACATCCCCAGCCTGTTGCCTGACTACCTTACTCCAAAAAAAAAAAACAACCAACCATCTCTCAGCTTCTCAGCCATTAACACCAGAAGCACCATCCCACTTGACCACACCACAAACAGACCTCACTCCATGCCCACTAGCTCAGTGAAATCAGGGGCCCACCTGGCGCAGGACAGCACAGCCTCCCCAGGCAGCTGCCCCACGTCTCGCACCCCCAAGGATGAGCGGTCCCTCCAGCTCAGCAGATGCCCCGTGACCGCTCGTTAACGAGCTGTGTCACCCTTACGGGACAAGCCGTGGCATTCCACGCTTGTTACACAGCCCAAACCGTCCTGACTGTGCTCTCAAGCCTTTTTGATTTGAGGAGCGGGTCCGAGGGAGAGCGGACTACAGCCCTAATGCTGACATTAAGGAGGTCACCACGCAAACAAGGCTTTCTGGAGAAGAGGCACTGGCAGGTCTCAGCTTGGCAGCTCTGAGAGAGGTGGATGTGGCGCTGCATCCTGCCTCCCAAAGTGGCAGTAAGATGCTCTGGGAAAGACCATAAGAAACAAGGCACATACAGAACAGCCCTTCCCCTGCTATTCCCCCCCAGCTTCTGGCAGGAAAGACAGTCCTCCGTGACTTGTTCAAAAGGCTCTTGACGGAGAAACAATCCTTGATCAACCATTAACAGGCCTAACGTGACCGACCGTTAACAGCTCGGTCTTCCCCGCACAGATGTGTGTACACACATACCTCCTCAGGAGGTCCACCACCCTTCAAGGACTATAGCGGTGTTACCAAGGGACTACAAGAACCACTACAGTCCCAGCGTTAAGACTCAGCCAGGGTTCCATGCAAGAAGCGGGAAACATTTAATAATCCTGGGAAGGAGCGAGTCCCACTAGGATCAGAACGGGACTCTAGAGTGCCCAAATCCCAAAGGCATTAACAACAATCCTGCATGGAGCTGGGCCTACAGGACAGGTGCTGCCTCTTACCTGTTCTCCAGCAGCGTCATGCACACAACCTCCCGCACGCCTGGGTTGTTGGCTTTCTCGACGGAGCAGCTTTGCAGGTTCCAGGTAGCCACCCTCAGGACGGGTCTGCCATCTCTCACCCCCCCAAACATCTCCACAGAGGGGCGAGTGGATATGATCTGGGTTGGACCCCCAGGAGGAAAGTCCAAGTCCTCGCTCTGGAGGCTCAGAGAAGTGGGGCTGGGGTGAGGCTTGGCAGTGAAGTTGAGGCCACCGTTGGTGTTCGTCGAAGGGGGCCGGGACCGCTCCGCAAAAATCTGATGCCTGATTTTGTCCAGAAAGGAGGAATTAATGCAGTCCATCCTCACCAGGTCCTCGATACTTTTGAAGGGCCCGTGCTCTTTACGGTAGTCCACGATGCTGTTGGCGATCTTCTCGGTGATGCCGCGGATGCTCATGAGCTGGGCTGGGGTGGCAGTGTTAATGTTGATCTTGGTGGCGGAGAGGTGGTGCT